GGGTCCTGTCGGGGGCGGGGGCGGGGGGGGCGTCCGGCTCCAGGAACTGCCACCGTCTCCTGCCAGCTTTGTGCTGTGCCTGGGGCGTCCCAAGGGTCAGGATCTGTGCGGCCTTGAAAGACCTCCTGCGTTACTCTTTGACTTTCTACACACCTGCCGTTGTTTGGGTTTTTCCCCTTCTCTTTTTCTTTAATTTATTTTTCATTTTGTGTGTTCCTTTTTTGTGTTGCTGGAGTCCTCCTTAAAGTATGTTTTCCATATCTGGTATGTAGATGGTAATTATATTTGGGGTTTTTACGTGTCCGAAAGGTCTTCATTTTGTATTTAGTCTCAGTTGACAGTCTGGCTAGATATAGAATTCTAGGTTCAGAATCATTTCCCTTAGAATTTTGAAGGCTTGCCTCATTATCTTCTGGTGTCCTCTGGTTTTGATAAGAAATCTTCTTTCAGTCTCTTTAAAGGTTTCCTTTCTGGAAGTGTTTAAGGTTTTTCTCTTTATGTTTTGGATTTTGAAATTTGATAATGCTGCGTCAAGCCATAGTCAGTTTTCATGCACCCTCAGTTTGTATACTGAATGATTAACTTTGTACTCTTAGCTTTGGCTATAACATATTGAGCTTTCTTTAGGTTCACTTCAGAGTTTTCATGTAAGACTTGAAATTAGCATGCCTACGTTCGCTGCTGGGTTGAAGGAGGAGGGAGGCCAGATGATGACGCTGGAGCTGGTGGATAGGCCCCTGCAGGTGAGAGGAGTCTGTCCTCCTTTAAAGGGTCGGCCTCAACTTTGGTTGCTTGTCAGAAGTGCCTGTGCAGCTTTGGGAGCCCTGATGCCTGACCCCAAGTCCTAGCCCAGATGTGCTGGAGTAGTCGGTCCAGGAGCAGCCTGTGCCCTGGGGTGGGGGATGCTTCCCGAGAAATGGTGGGCGTATCCACGGTTGAGAAGCAGAGCTTTGCAAGAAGCTCAGGAGAGCTGCGGCATCAGCCCCCCTCCTTCATGGGCTGGGTCCTCAGGGAGTCTTGTAGCTCTCCTCATACTTCAGGGTGGGCAGGCTGCAGATTTGGGGCCCCTTGGGGTCCCCTGCTCTCTCCAGGGCTGTATGGGCTCTGCTCGAGTCCTGTTTAGACTGGCGTTGGCTTTCCTCTCTGGTGGGCGTATAATTTATGCTTCAGCAAGGTTCTCCAGCGACGTGTGAGACAGAAGAGACGTCCACTTTTCCCAGACTCTTCTTGCCCTCAAAGTCTCTTCATCCTGTTTCCACTCTCTGCTCTTGTCTGGTTTTGGTGGTCAGGTGGATCCTGACTCACAGAGTTTGCGCCTGGCCCTGTGGGGACTCGCTGGTTTACTCAGTTCACAGAGGGCATCTGAGCCCAGTTGTCTCCTCCTGAGCTCTTGGGGCCCACGCTCAGACAGGGCTAACCTCCCCGTACACTGGCTCTCCCTGCACATGGGCTCTCCACAGAGCAGCGTGCTGCCCCACGAGGGCGGCTCAGGTGCCTATCCTCCCGGCGCCCGTCCTCCCGGCGCCCGTGCCTTCACCTTCCGCCACTTCCCACCAGCACTCAGTCTCTGTCTCCATGTCCCTGGGCAGAGGAGAAGGTGGATGCTGGTGGCGGTGAGTTAAGTGGCTGAGCTCACAGGACAAAGCAGATGCTTCTCTCCCAGAGCGTGCCCCTGACCCCACATCACATCCCTCACAAACAGTACCCTGTGTCCTACTTAGGAGAACAGGAAAGTGTAAACACATTTTAGAAAAAATTTAAAACCAGAAATAGTTGTTAAAATTGGTCATTTAAAAGAAAGCTTTTTCTAAGTTTATATTAAAAGACCACACTCTTTGGCGTTGCCTCTCGGTGGCCCTGCCTTCTGGGGCAGAGGACCGGGCGGCAGGGGGCCAGGCTGCGGCAGGCCCCACCCTCCACCTCCCTGTGCCTCAGTTTCCTTTGTGGGCAGCAGGTGCCTGTGCCCAGTGCTGAAAAGGCGTAGCACTGGAGCTGCTGGGTAGCTGCCCCACTCTGGGTGTCCTGATCTTCCCCGTGGTCTCATGTTCTGCTTTTTCCCAAATTATTTCTTGTTTTCATTGTTTGAAATAGAAAACTTGAAAGAAATCAGTTATTGTTGAACATCTATTTCAACTTGCTTCTGAGATGTGTAAACAAATTGTGGTTTCTGAAACTGGTTTGAAGGTCATTTTAAAATATTCTTTAATTTTTTTAAAGGTTTTATTTATTTATTTGACAGAGATCACAAGTAGGCAGAGAGGCAGGCAGAGAGAGAGGAAAGGAAGCAGGCTCCCCACCGAGCAGAGAGCCCGATGCGGGGCTCGATTCCAGGACCCTGGGATCATGACCCGAGCCGAAGGCAGAGGCTTTACCCACTGAGCCACCCAGGCGCCCCAAAATATTCTTTAATTTTAAGATGTTTTGTATCTTCTGTAGTTCATAAAGGAAGTCGAGGGCATTTTGGTGACGGTGTGTCTTTGGTTGATTAATCTGCACTTTAAACACAAGTTTTGTTTCTTGTAAAATATTTTTTATAGATTAGATATAACTTGAGTCATATCACATTCATACGTGTGTTGTCAATAACAAGAAAATTAGTTGTTGCGTGAAGGAATGAGGCCATCACACTGTTGTTTTGAAGGGGGCCTTGCGCCACAATCACAGAATGGAGTGAACTCAATGACATCCAAAAGAGTGTGTTTTCCTGAAATGATACTTTCTGAAGTAGAAAAAATTATGTGAACTCTTAGATACATAAATCCACAGGTTTCCTTCCTCAGGTGTGCTGAGTTATTTAAATTGGATTAAGATTCATTTCTTACTATTTCACGTCATAACAGAGCAAAACATTTCTTTAAAATGCGGTCGCTTGCTGAAGTGAAAACACAACGCAGGCTGCCCTCTTCTCTCCAAGAGTGAGCTTTTCTTGCCGTGACCATGACAACCGGCTCCGTCACAAAGGGACAGCCTCCCTGGACGTCAGGCCCTGGCACAAACCTCTGACATTCTTCAAGGCAGTAATATTAAAGCAAATTCCTTGTCCTTGCCAAACATAGGCTCATTGTGAGGAAATTCCAGCTTCCTTCGTGAGACACGTTTTCCTTCATTATCCAAATTCTGGTTCAATTTTTCCCCTTCTGAAATCGGACTGCACGAAGCAGCTCTCGAAACAGATCCTGGTCATTTAAATGTGACCATGGGCCGTCTCTTCCCATTTCATCTTTGTGTGTCTTCGGTTTGGAGCCCGTGAGACCTTCGCCTGGGGCCTGCCGTGCCTAGCGGTGGGGACAGTGCTTCAGTCCATCTCTGGGCCCTGCCCCTGCCTGTTACATCTGTGCTTCTGGGGGACCTGGGGCCACTGTGCTCGCTGATTCAGGTGGGCTGAGCGCTAGGGTTAATGCTAGAGCCTGAGCTGCTACCTGGTGGGAAAACAGCCTGGACAAGGGCACTGGCCTGGGTCACAGCCTGGGCCACCCGAGCACAGCTTCTCTGGCCCAGCGGGACTGGCAGTGGTGCTGGAGTTGGCTCCAAGCCGCCGACTGGAGCCGCAGACGGGCATGTCCTTGGCGTGAAAAACAGGCGTGCTCCGGTGCAGCCTAAGGCAGCGGCACTAATGAGACGTGCTTCGAGTCCCCCGAGCTGGTGTGCAAGGGGGATTTATTGTTTGATGTCTGCACACATCTGTTTTACTTTGTGTGGCTTTTCTCTGTGGCCCCAAGTCCGTGACTGGCTGGTTAACTTGGTGCAGGTGTTGGGGGGATGTACCTCATGCCCCTGCCGTCCCCTCAGCCCCTCTGAGTACCGCCTGGAACTGGCCCCTGGACACAGCTGGCTTGGTGTGAATTCCCATGGCCGCTCCTCACCAGGTAGCAGATGGGGCTGGCCTGCCCCCCTACCCACCACGGCCTGCTGCTCCCCACACCACTGGGCCTCTGCTCTCTCTCAGGCTCGAGCAGCCCCAGACCCCCTCTCACCCCCTTGTCGTCATAAGCCTCCCGATACCTCTCCTGGCACCTTTCGTTTGGCACTGAAGTGAAAACACAACGCAGGCTACTCTCTTCTCTCCAAGAAGGAGAGATCGCCAGAGGTCGTCACTTAACTTTTTTCAACTCGGTTGTAATTTCTCTGAAGGCAAAGTGTTCTTGAAACATAACACACATCCAGAAAAGCGCACTGATCATAAATGCCGGTTCGGTTAATCTTCTCGAACGGAGCGCGTCCCCAGCGCCGTGATGAAGGGCCGACCGTGTCCCTTCCGGCCCTGCCCACATCCTGAGGGAACCACCTGATACCAGGTGAGCTGGCTGCCGTGTGACCTTGAATGCTGTGTGGGCATCACCCACACGCGTGTGCAAACCGGGTCTGCTCACCCTCATCACAGTATATCCTCAGCTTTCCCATCCTACATCAGGGGCCGTCATGGCTTGGGGAGCGTGCAGGGGTGTTCGGGGGGCCTGCTCCTAGCGAGGGAGCCGCGGGGTCCCAGTGTGTGCGTGTTCACACGTGGTGAGCGCTGCACTGACCGCAGCTGCCCCTGGGAGATGCATTCCGATAACTGCTCGCGGTGTCCAGGTCAGCGAGCTTGTACCCACCGGTCACACACACGGGCTCCCCTCCCCCGGTCACCGTGTCCTGACTCTCGTCCGCATTCCCACCGGCATCTGCTCCGGCACTTCCACCAGGGACGCTTCGCGTTTTTTCTCTCTGAATGTTGCCCGCGGCTTAGCTTCGTGTTATACTCGGTAAACGGTTGCAGACTCTGTTCTCCTCCAGGGAACGGTCCTGGCCTGTTCGCTGGTCCCAGGGGCTCGCGGTGTCCCAGCCCCTAAAGACAGAGCAGTGTTCTCTGTTGGCTCATTCCGTCTAAAGCTGACCTCGTCTCACCTGGTCGTGTACCGCGTTCTTCGCTCCCTGTGGTGCCATTGCCCTAGATCCTGGGGAAAAGAAAGCTGCTGAAAATCGAATTATAAAAGAACTTTTCTCTTCCTTTTTTCAAACAGTTGGATATTCTAAAAATCAAGCCATAGCACAGAGCTCAGGATCTTACCTGTGCTTTTTGGATTCGGTAAGTAACTCGTTGTTTTATTTAAAGTGTGTGTGTGTGTATGTGTGGTGTGTGTGGTGTGTGTGTGTAGTGTGTGTGGTGTGTGTGTGGTGTGTGTGTGTGTGTGTAGTGTGGTGTGTGTAGTGTGTGTGGTGTGTGTGTGTGTGGTGTGTATAGTGTGTAGTGTGTGTGTGTGGTGCGTGTGTGTTTGGGTGTGTGTGTGTAGTGTGTGTAGTGTGGTGTGTGTGTGTGTGGTGTGTGTGTGTAGTGTGTGTAGTGTGGTGTGTGTGGTGTGTGTAGTGTGTGTGTGTAGTGTGTAGTGTGGTGTGTGTGTGTATAGTATGTAGTGTGGTGCGTGTGTGTTTGGGTGTGTGTGGTGTGTGTAGTGTGGTTTGTGTGGGTGTGTGTGTGTGGGTGTGTGTGTGGTTGTGTGTGTGTTTGTGTGGTGTGTGTGGTGTGTGTGTGGTGTGTGTGGGTGTGTGGGGGTGTGTGTGTGTGGTGTGTGTATAGTGTGGTGTGCGTGTGTGTGTGTAGTGTGTGGGGTGTGTGTGTGGTGTGTGTGTGGTGTGTGTGTGTGTGGTGTGTGTGTGTAGTGTGTGGGGGTGTGTGTGGGGTGTGTGTGTGTATGGTGTGGTGTGCGTGTGTGTGGGGTGTGTGTGTATAGTGTGGTGTGCGTGTGTGTGTGGTGTGTGTGTGGTGTGTGTGTGTGTGGGGTGTGTGTGTGTAGTGTGTGTGGTGTGTGTGTGGTGTGTGGTTGTGTGTGTAGTGTGTGGGGTGTGGTGTGTGTGTGTGTAGTGTGGTGTGCGTGTGTGTGTGGTGTGTGTGTGGTTGTGTGTGGTGTGTGTGTGTAGTGTGGTGTGTGGTGTGTGTGGGTGTGTGGGTGTGTGTGTGTGGTGTGTGTATAGTGTGGTGTGCGTGTGTGTGTGTAGTGTGTGGGGTGTGTGTGTATGGTGTGGTGTGCGTGTGTGTGTGGGGTGTGTGTGTGTATAGTGTGGTGTGCGTGTGTGTGTGTGTAGTGTGGTGTGCGTGTGTGTGTGGTGTGTGTGTGTGTAGTGTGGTGTGCGTGTGTGTGTGGTGTGTGTGTGGTGTGTGTGTGTGTGTATGTGTGGTGTGTGTGTGGTGTGTGGTGGTTGAGTAGATAAATGAGCTGACATTTGAGTTCCGGAAGATCATGGCTCTGATACTTAATGATCAGACTTAAAGCCCTGGGCTCTGCTGTCAGATTCCCGTAGCACTTAGAGTCATTGTTAGTAACTAGGATTCTATGAAAATGCGGATTTGCACAGCAGAATTACTTAGACGGACACTTAGAGCATCAGCAGCTTTGAGGAAGTAGTGCCGCGAGCGGTAAGAAAGCCCAGAGAAGGGTCAGTGGTGGATCTGTGGGGAAGGACGGAGGGACAGGAGTGGGGGGCCCAGGACAGCCGACGGCTGGTGGGTGTTAACATATCTTTCAGTCACTTGTGACCAAGGAAACATAAGGTACGTTAGTGAGAAAACCCAAGTTTTTAAAAATCTGTGCTCACAGGGTTTCCGGAAGTGCAGTTACTCCGTAGTTGCAAGGTGGGAATCGGGGGTGTTGGCGGTGTCATTATGCATTCAGTATCGAGAACGTATGAAACGCGGGCGCCTGGGTGGCTCAGTGGGTTAAGCCTCTGCCTTCAGCTCGGGTCATGGTCCCAGGGTGCTGGGATCGGGCCCGCGTTGGGCTCTCTGCTGGGCGGGGAGCCTGCCCCCTCCCCCCGCCTACTTGTGACCTGTCAAATAAATAAATAAAATCTTAAAAAAAAAACAAACTTATTAAATGCTCATGCCCTCAGCTCCTCGACGTCACCTGTAGGGCTCACAGAAACTCTGGAAACGACGTGTGTCCCGTCAGGATGTGGGATCACTGCGGCGTTTCTGAAGCATCTTCAGTCCCGTGGCAGCCGGTTAGCCCAGGGGGAAAAGGCATGACTGCATGGATAGTGTGTGCTCAGCCGTGGGTTTCTCTTCACTCGCTTTAAAACGGAATGTAGGCACGTCTGCGCGTGTGCAGTCTCCCTCGGGCCCGTCCGGGTCTGGGCTGCAGGGCGCCACAACTTCTGGGCACTTTGGGTGACTGCTCTTGGCCTGCGCGAGGTCAGCCGTGGTTCAGAGTTTTTGCTGAATTAATTCTCCTGCAAACCTGCTTGTTATCCCTGTGGGCGCAGGAACTTCTGTGTGAGGTCTGGGTCCACGGCAGGTCTGGGGAGGTTGTGTTTCTGTGCGAGCAGGCAGCGAAAAATTGCTTCTCAGGCAGCCCTGGTCTTGGAGACAGACACTGGGGCGACCGTGTCCGTCTGTCCTGCTGCTTCAGCAGCTCCTATTTCTTCTTCTGCCTCATTTCTTAGACAGAACTCCCTCGTGTTCCCTCATCTCCTTGCAGACCCAGCTCTGGGGCCTGTTCTCACTCTCAGATGGTCCATCCAGCATTTTCCTAAACAAAGACAATTTTCCACCGAAGACAGCAAAGTGTGCTTCTCACAGCCTTTGGGTGAAGGCAGGAGGTGATTTTCTGCTTCTTCTTTAAGGCTGTTCTTTCTGGAACACCGTACTCAGGAAGCTCCACCAGCAGGACGCAGGCGAAGGAGAGAGGAGGGCTGAAGACACCTTCTCCTGTCTGGTACCCTCCAGGGCTCTGTGTTTGCTGGAGGCCAGGAAAGGAAACGGAGGAAGGCCAAGTTGGACCCAGCAGAGCCAGTTCAGAATGGCAAGAACCACAGACCAGGAAGGCTCCTGATGAAGCCGGTGGAGGGCAGCATGGACAACCAGGCCCCTCAGGGGTGGGCAGGAGGAGAAGGAGCAGGTCAGACGCCTGGTTAGTCCTGGAAACCGTGGGGAGGGGCGTGCGCTGGGGGTCAGAGCCACGAGAGCCCTGCTGCCACATTGGGCATGACCATGTCTCCGTTCTGGGCGTGGGAGAAACACGGTGTCGCCAAAATCTGACCAAGGAAAACTTGCCCCGACTCGAGAAATGTGACTTGTTCTTGCAGTTTACTTAAAATAAATTCATGAGGTGAATTTTGGTGAGTTTTGCCTGGGATCGGCATGACCGCCTAGCTGTACTCACCAGGGCAGGGGTGGCACCGTCCATCTGCCTTCCTGGTGGCGGACGGGCACAACTGCCTGTGAGGGGGCCGGGCGCACAGATGGGCGCACATCTGGTTCATCAGGACCCGGTGGCTCCAGACCATAGGGTGGAGGAAGATAAGCAAACAGAAGTCTGGCCTTTGAAGGAGGTGGCCTTTACTGTGTGTGCCCTGACAGGGACTTGAGTTCCTGGGCCCTTGAGGTGAGCAGATACGGCGTGTGTGGAAAGGAGGGCTTAGAACGGGGCTTCGTCCGGTCCCTGCTTTCCTGAGGGTGACCCTTCCAAGGGTTATCCCCACCATAGTGGAGAACCTCTGCCTGCAGCCGCTTCCCTTAGGACCCTGGCCGTCCGGTGTCTGCATCAGGAGCCCCATTAGCCACCACAGAGCTGTCTGTCCTGACGGCCACAGCACCTGACGGGCTGCAGGGGACCACCGGGAGGGAGCCTGGGCCCACGGCCCACGCGGGGAGGGCCAAGGGGACCCGCCGGAGGATGCCCCGTCTTCCAGGAGGGGGTTGGCGTCCTCAGGAAAGGACAGAAACACCGTGCACCTTTGTTTTGTTAAGTTTCTGATCTCTGTGGGTTTGGTCCATTTCTATGCTCGCTCATTCCTTTTCAGCCTTTCCGTTTACTTTCTCCCGTGAGGGTTAAGATACCTTCTCTTCTAGGGACTGCACAGATGTCCCTAAGTCCTGAATATAGTGACTCAGGTATTGTCACCTATCCCAGCCCCCAGCCTGATGTCTTCATCTTCTCTTCAAACGTAGACCTCGGGGTCTCGGGAGCAGAGAGCTGAGTTGGTCACGAGCCTCGGTTCAGGACGCTTGCTCATGCGTCCCGCAGCCTCTGTTTGGTCTATACCTGTAGAGGTGTGGTGTTCGTGCCCATGAACCTGCCATCCAGGACTGGAGCCAGCCAGCCCGCTGACCATCCCCCGCACCCGTCAGCCACCTGCCACGCACTGTGTCCTAACCCTGAACTCTGGTATTTGCACAGAGCTGAAAACATCACCTAAAAACTTAAGTGTTTTTATCTTTATGCAAAGAGTATCAGGTCATGTAATATTTTAAAACGTGTGTTATTAAGATCCATCCATATTATTTATCTTTATAGATCAGTTTTTTTAAAATGGAGATAAACTTTATGTACAGTGAAATGCAAGATTTCAGTGTGAAAATTACACACAAAGTGAAAATTTGGTGAGTTTGGACAGCTGCGTCCACCCACACACCTAACGCCCCCGCTGAGACACAGAGCATTTCCGTCCCTCAGAACGTCCCCTGTGCTTCTGCGGGACCCAGATCCGCAGGGGGAGCCGCACAGGACACCCTTGGCCGCAGCCTCTTTCCCCGCGGTTAGGGTTAGGGTTACTGACGCTGGGGCAGTTTCCTGTCCGGGTTATTTTACTGACACTCTTACGTCCGTCTTTTTGTGGATGTGTATTTCCATTTCTCTTCGGGAGACACCGAGGGGTGGAGTTGACTGGTCACAGGGGAAAGGTGTCCCTCGCTGAAAATGAACCTGCCGAACCCCGAGGTTGCTCAGCGCGCAGCGGTGGGGCGGCCCACCTCACCGATGTGGACGCTGTTGGTCCCCATCTTAACCATCCCGCAGGCGCAGAGTGTGTCTCGTTGCAGCTTTGGTTTGCGTTTCTCTGGTGCCTGGTGCTGTCGAGCACTTCTCATGGGTTTAATGGCCGTTCGTTTCTTTTGTGATGTGTCTGTTCAAGTCTTTTGCCCGTTTTTCTTTAATCGGGCCGTTCGTCTTGTGTCAGCGAGCCGTGGAGGTTCTGTGTTTGGGGTGCGGGTCCGCTGTCAGTCCGTGGATGTCCTCTCCCATCTGTGACTCACCTTCACATGTAGTGATGGCTTTTGATGAACCGAAGTTCTAAATTTTGTTGAACTCCCAA